AAAACCATTTCTCCCCAAATTTTTATTGCTACTTTTTTTCTTCTGGGCAAGCAAAACTGTTTGACATTTTCTGGAGTTTTCAGCATTATGAAATGTTAAAAGTGATATGCTTTCAAGTGGCTTTCAGAGGTGGTTTGATGTACGTCATTCCTTGCTAAAGTATCTCAGCTGGCTAATTTAGCCAAAAAAATATCTGAGAGAGGATCTCTGACTACACATTTGTTGATTACTTGCATTGAAAAGTATATTTTTCTTATCTCTGCCAAGTCAACAATAGCTTAGAAGATGGTTGCTCAAAATATACAACCCCCTGGAACATTATGAACTCCACCCTTCTCTGTGCACCTAAGATTGTAATGTGCATAACTTCACTCAGAACGAATCAGATACACCCAGTGGGCTCTTTCCTTTGCTCAGCCCACTTTGACCTCAGATTAACCCTCTGATTTTACATTTGTAGTGAAATGAGAAACTGGTATAGGATCCTCAAGACAAGCTCCTTTGTCAAAAAGGCCAGCTAATGGTATCTCAATTGTAATTACTGGAGCCACTTCATTTATCTATCTTTTCAAAACAACCTCTGAATAAGTTGGTTGTCCTGGAACTTTGCTTAGGTGAGTGGTTTGCACTGGTGGCTAGATCAGTAGTTTCACAGCCTGCTCTTGGCACATACTGGACAAGAAAATGATCCCAAAATAGAAGGGAAATAATATGCCTTGATGCCCCCTTGAAACCTTGTGTGCTTAAAATTCAAAATATACGCCTGTATTCCTCCTATTCAATAAACTCAGACAAGATTCAAGCCTCTTTTATAGGCATGTGAAACTGTACGCCTCATAAGAGCCTCTGCTTCAGAATGGACTCCTATCAGTTTAAACATAATGTTTCTCACATGAGCTTGAGTTTCCCTTCCTGATTTCCCCCTACCAAATACCCAAAGAGAGGAAGCGGTACCCAATGGTGCCAGGGGTTTAAGAAAGATTCCTTTGAAACTGCAGGGTAAGGATTCAGAACCTCACTGAAATTGGATTATGACTTGCCTTGTCCCTAATTTTCCTATGCTGTCTGAAGAGCCTTAGATTCCTCACACTAGCTATAGCCAAAACTGCAGTGTGCAAGTCCTGAGATGTGCAAGATTCCCTTTGTTTTCTAATTATACACTTTAGGGTACACTAACCAAGTCTGGTGCAAAACTAGGGCTGAGATAAGGAGATGAGGCATGAATATGGAACAGCACAGTCACATAGCTAGTGACTGGTAGAAAGTCTTACACTCATAATTCATCTCTAGGCTTTCCCCAAGCATTCTTTTTCAGCAGCTTTTTAGTTGTTGCTATAATTGGAAAATGGGGGAGTCAGCAGCATTTACACATCCCTGGCAAAATACCCAGCAATTTACCAATGTAGGAATAATCAATGTTCAATTTTCTGGCACTGTTGATATAGTGTAAACCATCTGGAAATTTTTAGAAAAGGTGGGTAAATTTTTTTAAAAAGGCAAACAATCCTACACTTTTAAAACACGAGTACCTGGTAAATAACTTTCATACCAGAACACTTTTCATGGGTCCTGGCAGTTGGTATGCTTGTTGCTGCCAACTCTGAGTCAAACATACTAAACAAGGTGGACTGGATGATTGATTGTGTGTGTGTGGGGGGCATTATGTAATCCAATCCTTTGATGTTTGCATTGCAGCTCCTAGCCTGGGCAAGCTGCTTTTCAAGCAAAAGGATTTGCCAATGTGGGTAACTTTTAAAAAACATCCAGCTCTTTTTAGAACTGAATCTCATTTTCTTGTTCCCTCCTCCCCACAAAATTATCTGTGAATTTTTGAAGCACACCTCAAATTCTTTGTGGAAGTGATTTAGTAGAGAGGAGGTCTATCAAACTCCGTGCAACAAGCTATTCCATTTAATTACTTGCTAACTGTCTTTTTCATCAAGTCAAGTCCCTGCTTTACGTTGAGAAATTGGAAAAAATCGGATTGACAAAACCTGCCTACTTACATCATTCTGAAATTATTGTATTACGTCAGTATGTTTCAAGTGATATGGAAGATCAGTCATTCCATTCCAAAGGTCTGATGAGCCAATCAAATTCAAGATTAATCTCCAGCTGAGATCATGTTAAATGGAAGAACTCATGAAGAAGCTAAAATAATAAGATCAGCTCTCTTCATAGTATAAAGGAGCAACTGACAGGCCATACTTCTTTCCTCTACATTTCGGTACAACCTGATGTAGTAAAGAGGTTCAGAATATGGGGGAAATCTCAAATTAATTGATAAAGTGTAGAAAAAAAACCTAACAGTTAGAAAATACTCCAGATGGATTTGCGTGTGTGTTTTTTTGCAGGTGTTTTGTTTTGGCCAGGCTTTGTCCATTTTCTTTTTTTTGCAGTTCCACTTTTCCCCTGTCAATCTTGAAATGCACCACTCAAGGTTATTTATGATCCTTGGTTCAAGAAAAGAGTGTTCAGTCCAGCTGTGATCTTAGCAAATTTTCTCAATACATCCAACTAATTTTTAAATCCACTTCCAGGCAGAACTGACCTGCGCAACACCCTAACATTCAGGGTACCCCCATGTCTCTTTTGCAGTGTCCTCAGAGAGCTTATAAGGAAAGGTGTGCTGGTGATTCATATAGAACATGTTAGTTGCTGAAAGTCTGCTTGTTCTTGTTGAAGGTTGTGAAAGACTAAGACAATTGCTACAGAGAACCACCCTGCTGGAAAAGATGATATGAAATCTTCACAACATTATAATGACTAAGTGGGTCTTTTGCCCACTGCTTCAACAAGGGAATCTCAGAGACTCTTTTCTCAGATATCGGGTTAACCCATGTAGCCAATACTCTCAAAGTTTATGTAAAGGAAGATTGAAGCAAAATGCCTACATTCTTGGTTTTTCATGCCAGATAATGCAGTACTCTTATGCTTCTGGGGAACAATGTTATGTGTGTAAATCGCAGACATTATATTATCCATATCGTACAGAGCAGAGATGTTTGCAGACAGCTACACTGAGGGCAGAAAATAGTACAAATTCCAGAACACTCAGAGAATTGTTGCCACCTTCCTGTGGCTTTCCTTACATGCATTACAGTTAATGAGAAGTCCTCCAAAACTCACATCTGTCACTCGAAGGCAGAGAGCCAATTATAGTAGGCACTACCATTTCCCCCCTCTTAGCCCAGTTTCTGTTAAGCAAAGCACAGTGTTTCGTATGGCTCCAGTCTGTGGTCTACAAACATCACACATGCCAGCAAAAACAGTCCTTTGGCTACTTCTTGCTGGTGCTGTAAACAAAGTCATATTACTAAAAAAAAGGGACAAGTATTACTATATACATGTTTGTTTCTTTGAAAAACACCGTGAGAACCTGAAGAAAAATTGGATGAAGGATCTCTGTCCAGAGAAAGCCACGTATATCAGGAACCTTTGACCAATGTACATATTTGAATTGTGAAGCTCTGTGGAATCCCATTTGATGCAAGACGTCCAGGTGCTACTAGGTAAACCTGGCAATACTGCTGTAATATGAGGATACAAGTACATAATGGCACAAAGCAACATTTTTGAGATTCACACAGACCTTCTAGCTCTTTTAGGGGCAGAGACCAGGGCCAGGTAGGAACATTTGGGGTTAGGTCTCTAGGAATATGCTCATTAGAATATCTCTTCTGACTGTACAAAATCCAACAAATGCTGGATCTATAAACATTTATTTGAAAGACTTTACAGACACCCAGTGTCTAATTACCACTGTATAATGGCTGTACAATATGCCAAATTGGTATCTGAGGTGCTTGAGCATCTCACTTGATGGATGGGATTAAGACAAAATTAAAAAAAAAACCTGGCAGTTCAAAGATATCATTTCGCTGTGAGAAGGTTTTAGCATGATTATTCTTTTTAAGAAAATGGGTAAAACAAGGAACTCCCAAGAACAGTTGGATAAAAGTTGCGGTCTGGCAAGAAACCAAGCCAAAATGGAGTTGTCACCATATGTCCATAGAATGCTAGTTGAGCCAAACCTACTCCATATATCTTACTGGATCTCAGAAGCAACTATACACTGTCCATTGAAAATGGGTGATTTGACACTCTTGTTAATAGAGAGAGAATAATTGATATATTGATACAATATCAATATATTAGAATGTTGGAAATTTAGAATATAAATAAAAAGGGGGATGGTGGCAAACACTCTTAACATAATTGTGCTTATAATTAAGCCATTCTCACACCTCCTTGCATCTGGGACTGTTTATCTCTAGGCACTGGAATAATTTCTGCTATTTGTTTATTTATTGTACCTACTGCAATCATGATACTCCTGGGTTTATGTACTCTATACTTGGCAATGATATATAAAATTAAGTGGTTTCTTAACCACAGCAACCACTTGCCTTGAATTCTGTTAAGCTAGTTAATATTGTTTGCCACTACAATTTCTCTCCAAATCAGGAAAAATTATGCTCATATGGAAATGCAGTATTTCCTAACAGGTGGATTACATACAGTTGGAACAGAACTCAGCAAAAAGCACCTGTTAGTCACTCTTGGTAAGATGCAGCACCTAGCAAGTAGTGTAATATAATAGATTTTCACTGTGCCAGAGAGCAACCTGAACTAGTATCATATTCTGCTAATTTTGCAAGATTGTTTGTCATAATAGTTATAAAAGTAATAGCCTGACTTAGTAAACATGAAAAAATTGGTGTTAGTGAGCCTGTGAAAGAAGCCATCACTAGCATGGCTTTCTTTGACAGAAACTGAGCATGTCAGAAAACTTCATGTATATAATCTCTCCTTATTCAGGTTTTCTTCTTCCCTTTTTTTCTTTGTCAATAACATGAAAATGAATGTTCAAAACAATACCGACAGGACTGTTGGAAGAGTCTGTCTTAGAGGTTTTCTTGGCCATAAGGCCGCTGCAGTATACGGCACTGAACCATCTGGTCCACATGAATTATCTACAAGGAACACAGTGTCTCTGATCAAACAGTCACCTCTGTCTTGCTAGCTGTGCGGTAATGGTGATGGTGTCCTGGGATATAGTGCAGCTGCTCCACGGTGTTGTGTCGCCGGGAGGCAAATGCTTGGCGCTTGGCTGAGGTTTGGTTCATACTCAAGGTGTTGTACAAATTATTTGAGGCACTGGGATGGGAGTGCATCTTAGTCATCCGGTAGCGATCCAAGACAGGTGTTGTAACAAAGACATCTGAGTGAGACAAGGCTCGGGACATGGACTGCTCTCCAAAACTTGAGTGTTCTGGAGAAAGCAGAGGGTCTTGGGAATGAAGACGCTCAGTAGACAACAGCTGTTCATCTGAGAGGATCTGCTCATAAGACATACTGAAGTCCTCAGGCATGATTCTCTCTGGGGACAACACCCGGTCCTGGGACATGGCCCTCATTACACGGCGTGGCCGCTCCCTTTGGCCGACTGGTTTCTGGGATAACTGGATGACGTTGAGAGGGAGGGTACCCCTTGCTGCTAAGTCTGGAAGGTGCCTCTTTCGAGAGTAATATTCCTCTGCGTCCTTGTCAGCTACATAGAGAAGAGAAATTAGAAAGATAAAATAAAGGGCTGGAGGAAGAGGTGAGAGTAAAAAAAAGGGGGGTACCGCATCTTTTTTCAGAATAATCAATAATCAGTATATGAAACGGGTGTAAAGGCAGTAAGCAAAAGCACTGCCATACCAGCAGTGTTTAGGGTGTAGTTAACTACACCCTTTCATATGAATTGATGTCCAATCAGCCTGGGACTATGGTGTTGCCTTGAGCTCGGAGCTTGGCAATTTGGTTGCAAACATTTTGTAACCATTCAGGGAGACATCGTCAGTGTGTTTTGAATTGTTCAGATTTGAATTGCTCACAATTCAAAGCGCACTGACGATGTCTCCTCGTATGGTGACAAAACGTTTGCAACCAAATTGTCAAACTTGGAGCTCAAACCAACAGCCTAGGTACCAACCTAAGCTACTAATATTCAAACACATTTCAGTATGGGACTATGCTGCACTTGGTCCTTAGCGCACACCAAAGTGGCCAGATCTTGCCAAGTTTGCACTCTCACAATGTGTTGAGCCTGCAGCTCTAACTTTCAGAACTGTGGAGCAAAAGGGTGCATTGAATTATGAAGCAAAGGTGTCTCTGAAAAAAAATCATGACTGAAGTAAAGCATCTTCTTAAAACAGCATTTCTATAATAAAAATATAGATGTCAAGACTACAAAGTAGAAAACAGCAACTCCTCTGGTTAATTTTGTTTGTATCTTATTTTTATTTTACTCTGTTGTTGGGAGCAACCCAGAGTTGGTTAAGGTCAGGAGGCATTCAAATTGAATAGAATGAATGATTCAATAAATGAAAGAATGAATGAATGATCAATCTGAAGAAGGCATACATCTTAAAGCTTGGAGCCTCGACTATGGGTGCTGGCAGATATTATCCTTCTTACCTTATACCCACCAGATCTTTTGCCCTGCTTTTGCCCCTGACCATAAAAGTTCTATAGCAAAACACACGGCAGCCTTGGCCTGTTGGATTATCAACAAGGGGAATAACTAAAAAGCTTTAACGTGTTAGGTAGAAACAATCAGTATTTTTATATCCAAAAGAAGCTAAGGCATCTTCCATCATATTAAGCTGGCAAAACTAGCCCAGCAAAACTGCAAAGGTAATTTCTTTTTCTCTGAATCTCTCTTTCTCCCTCCCTGATTCTTTTCCCGCTTTCTTATCCCTTTCTTAGCCTCTGTCTTTATCCCTCAAATAAGCTGTGCCCTGAAACATGTTCAAGACCCTAACCATCTTAGTACCTGTGTATGTTTGTGAATGCTGCATCTTAAATCTTATGCCTTTTGTGCTCTTAACAGGAAGACTTAAAGATGTCTCCTTCTTTCCTGTAGCAAGGAGAGTTAATGCTACATCTTTATTTTCTGCTGAACTCTGTGTATGGTCCATTCAAGTGAATCAGTTCTTGAAATCTGCTTTTTCTTCTTCTTTTGGACTCCCTCTTCAACCTTCTGTCACTTAGCTGAAGATTCTCACAAGTGTCATAACTTAGGAGTCCCTTTGTATTGTTTTCCATTATAGCCTCAGAAATTTTTTGCAGCTACAGTTCCCATCGATGATCAACTGGCTATTATTTGATTGCTCTCAAAATCGTTGCTCTCAAGTACTGTTTAATAAATTGTATTTTTGCTATTGATAATAGTCTAATTTTTGGCCTTCTGAAATGTATAAACCTGGTTAATAACCTGATGTGTTAAGATTGTATTGAATTGGTGCAGTGTGATTTAATAAGTATGAAAATGAGGCCATTGAGGCAAGTGGGTATGAGAGAAAAAATCGCTCTGTTACAGGAAGAAAGAATGAAACACAGCCACAGCACGAAGAGGCTTATCAGTACTATACTTCCTCCGCCACCCTTCTTTCTCAAAAAACAAACAAACAAATAAATAAAAACCATCCACATCAAGTAGTAAATTAATGAAATGAAACCTACTTAATCTCTTCAGAGAAGAATATTTACTTGGATTAGTCTTAATTGCAGATTCATACGGTGGAGGGAGGTGCGAGAGGTTCTGGAAAGATCTGGAGAAGGACAAATCATAGGGCTCTGTAGCAGAGGTGAGGATACTGTTCATCCGTGGTTTTTCTGCAATGAAAGGAGGAAAAAAGAGGAAGCTACAAGAACAGCAGTGCCCTTAGATTCGGTGACTCAATTGCACCCATTCACTTGTCTAATTCTGCGTAATGAAGTCATTCAAGCTGATGCTACCTAAGCTGCAAATAAAGCTCTATTGGGCTTTGTTTCTTCAGTCCATTGCAATGGTTAATGAAGGCATAGTACATTGATTCATACCCCCATAGAACCCTTGCCCTTTGCCAAATGAGTGCTAAGAAGACAGGCCTCTTGTTAAGAGTGAACAAATGTAAAAGAAGTGGCTATTGAATGTCCATTTTTGTTTGAGAGAGGAGCATGAACAAGCCCAACTGGTATCCCGGTATGCCCTATGGAGAAGATGCTTTGAGTTTACTATCTGTACAAACTGCACGATCCCAATAACTAGGCAGATAATTAGACCCCATCCAACCTTTAAATATACCCACACTATACCCATTGTTTCTGGACATGTCTGGCTCACGCTGGAACACAAATGCAATTTCAAAATCTTTTTCCAAATATTCTGCAAGCAACAATAATCCATAATAAGGGAAGGTTTTCAGCTTATTTAAACTCAACCCTCTTCTTCTGTGAATTCTACGCAATTAAGGACCCAGCTTACAGTTTTATATCTCAGCTACCTGAAGGCCATATTTTTTGTTCCAACTGTCTCTCACCCTAAGGCAGCTTCTCCCACTGGATTCCCTCCAGTTCTACTGGACTTTGGGGCCATTCTAGTGAAGAATTAAAAAAGCTTGTTTTTCATTCCAAAACATATGGCAAGGAAAGAAAAGATTTCCCCAATGCATTAGTAATGGTGGTGTCAGATGAACTGGTTCTCATTCCAAAAGAAACTTTCTGCTTCGTCTCTTCTCCAGTTGCATTTTCACATACTGCGTTATTCTACCTTTTGGGAATTAGGAGCAATCAAACCTGTCTCCCTAATTTTAAATGGTTAGACAAATGGTTCTTCATTACTCATTCTGGTGAATTTTTTTAAAAAATGTTATCACTTGTAATTATGGAGATAATAACAATGATAATATCTAAAGAGAGTCCTTAGTGTTTTCAATGCAGACCCAATGTAATTTTCTATTAGCATGCATTGCAATTTGTCATCTTGCAGTCAAGAGTTATTCTTAAAGTACAGAATATACAGGACGTATAGAATTTAGCATGGCCCATTGGTGAGAATCATTGCTAAATACGAGAATTTCAATGGGTTGCAGTAGAATCTCTGTACAGTATACCTACGGATTAGTAAGACCTATTATTTACAAAGACTCTTAGAACTAAGAAAATCTGACAGGACAGCAGCTTTTGTAACCTAGATAGTTGAAAGAAAGAGAGTTTTAAGATCTTGTTCTAACTTTCATACTATGGCAGATCTTCCCAGTTGGGTTCCCCGCAGTTCCATTGGGTTTTAATTCTAGCTGGAGAATAGTTTTCCACTGAAAACACTATCTATGTTAGTTTATAGCCCTTTAATAACCCACTCTATTGAAAAAGCAACCCAAGGCTTTCCCCACAATATTGCCACTTCTTATGTGCTTATGAGAAGACAGTTGACTGCATGGGATAGCTGAACACAAAGATGAACATTTTGCAGCATTTCCTAATACATTCTACATTTTTCCTAACACAAACAAATAATTATCAATATTATGAATCCTTTAGCAGTATTTGGAAAGACTGTACCTTTCTAGGCAGAGCACATATGCAATGTGCATTAGTACATTATGGGGCGCTTCAAACTTGAGGTAGCTTCAAGTAATGAATTGTGGTGCTAGGACACATTTCCTACCCTTATACCTTGAAGAACAACTAAAGCATTTGTTTAATATTGAATTCACATTCCTTTGCTTATATCAGATTATATGATTAAAGGCTAAATTTTAAATCAACTTTCAGCAGCTCAAACTAGAGGAGAAAGTCTATCTGACAAGTCATAGCAGTTCTAATACACATAAGTGATAAAAATATTAAACATAACAGTAGTTTAAACCACAAGTAGTTGAAACCACAAGGATACGGAGGGGGAGCTCACCCTTGCATCTTATGTACTCCGGTCATATTCCAAGGCAAGAAATGACAACAAAGGTGAAGAAGCATAGCTCTTTAAGACACTGAGGGGCTAGAAATCAAGGAGAATATGATGCACAAAAGTGTATTCCTAAGATTACTAGAAGCCATGCCCATTTGTGAATGTCTGAGGACTAAGATAGCCAATTTAATTGGCAGAAGAAGTGTTAAATAGATCTGGATCTCTGGATCTGTACTGAATTGTGTCAAAGCCATTCCATAATCACTTCATCATTATATCTGCAATTCACATACACAGATTTTAACAGCCAGAAAAATTGTTGGCCCTCAAACAAGCATATTCTTGAGATGCCAAATTATTGTGTTCTTGGACTCTGCTTTATGAATCACAATAATGGATGTTCTGTTTCCATGCATAGACATTTATGGAAGATACAATCACACCATTAAAGTTCAAAAGTCATTAGTAAGGCATTTTATCTCAAGAAGTATATTGTCACACAGTATAATATGCAGTGTAGCCATGGACACCAACCATACTGCTGATTATCTGTTTGGAATTCATCCTATCAAGAATTAGAAATTATGTTGGTCCTTTGTCAATTATTTTTTATGCAGCTAACCAAGATGAAAAAATACCCATGGACTGAAATTTACATAGTTGGACCCTGCATATGGCATTGGGAGTATTTCTTTGGCTTTGATGAAGTATCAGTTCAGTCTTTTGGTTGAGCATAACAAGTCCCTTGTATAAATATCCTGAACAAAGAAAACAATCGAGAGACTGAATGACAGATGAGACATTTCCTTATAACTGCAAATGTATATACAATTCTTTATTATTACTGAGAGGATATTTCTTCTGTAATTAAACATCTAATGGAAGATTTAAATTGCTTTCCTATAATTTGTATATAATTACACTGGGATATAATATTGAGCTCACTGTTATCTCATGTGGGTCCTTACATACTGCTGCACATAATTTACACTGTGATGGTTGGGTGCCTATCCGATAGTAAGATGGAGACAAAAGAACAGCCTAAGCAACCTAGAAGATTTGTTAAAAATGGAAAATTAGCTTACTGCACATATCTGCATGTGTATGTACTCAAATCTGAACCCTGGTTAAATTCAAAGAGACCCATTTCTTATGAAACGTAGCAGATAATTGATTTCATTCTTCCTGCTCTTAATTTGTACTTGGCTTTGACTAATAGATGTTGCCATTCTAGTAAACCAATACCCAGTGAATTCCAGTAGCCCAAATTCTGCTCTACCTGCTAAAATAGCTTCACTCAAGATCTTTCACCGAAGGAAGCATTTGAATTTATTCCTGTTCCTATCTGAAGTGGAGCCTAAATAAGCTTGCTACCTATTGCTAACACTACAAAGACTACAAAAACACTACAAAGACTCTTTGGGTGACAAGCCCTGCTTTCATCTACTGCCACCCTTTATTAATTATGGTATTGCCTATTTTATTTCTCTGCTGTATGCGATACTGGTTAGATGTCAATGATTGGTTTGGCCTCCCAAATACTTCAACCCACATCTAATAAACTGGTACAAGTCCTCCCATTTACCAAGCAACAGGAAGCATCGATTCAATATAGCACTGTAAACAGAAGCTTTATCAGTGCAGCCGAAGTATACATCTTCAGCAGGGCTCCAGAAAGAAGTAACATTGTATTGGAATTATTGATAACCTAAAAACAGTACATGTAAGTCAGTACTTTAGTTTAAAACTGGATAAAACCAGCGGAGAGAGAATCCTGCTAAAATTGTAGATTCCAATTATGAAACGAGAGGAGTTGAGACAGCCCTCAGATTGATCACAACAAAGGAACATCTTGCCATTTGATCAGGGGAACATCAAGGCATGGTATTTTTCACCATGAACAAGCTATTGCAGATAGGGAAGGCTGTATCTACTACAGAGGTGGTATTCAGCAGGTTCTGACCAGTTCTGGAGAACCGGTAGCGGAAACTTTGAGTAGTTCGGAGAACCAGCTAATACCACCTCTGACTGGAGATTTTACAGTATCTTCCCCTGCCACGCCTACCAAGCCATGCCCACAGAACTGGTAGTAATTTTTTTTTTAAATCTCACCAATAATCTACTAGTCTCAGACTCAGATTCTTAGCAGTTGTGCTTGGAGGCCTTAATCACCAGGGCTGGACTGAAAACATCCTAAGTCTTAGAAGACCTAAAGCAGTCAATGTAGACAGGGTTCGGCCAGCGGATCTGCCTCAGCGGGCATCTTCCTAGGTTCATATAAACTTCTATAAAAGAAATAGTAATTCTATCCCCAATATCATACTTTCCAGTGTCACCAGCAGGGATATTCTTGATCCAACAGTGAGCTATTGAGCAATGCATATGCGAGTCCAAATTTGTCCCAAAGGAACTTAGTGCACTGTGACAGAAATGTGCAAGCATATTTCTGTTGTGGCTCCGGGTTTGGAATCTGCTCCTGTGGCAGATATGAGTTCAAGTGATGAGGATATGGCAGCAAAATATGAGCCGGCTTTGATTAGTGACTTGGATAGTAGCCAGGATGAGGAGATGGATGTAACAAGGGGAGATAAACCTGATTTAATAGAGTTGTCAGGACCTTCGACCTCCTCTGGTTCCTTATCTGAGCAGCAGCCGGGGATGGCTGACAGGGAAGGCATGAGAGAGTTTTCCAGTGGAGAAGACAATTTGGAGAACTTATGGCTTGATGTCAGAAACAGGAGGAGGCTCAGAAGTCAATCTCAATTAGGGAGAAGGCGTAGAGCCAGTAATTAATTAGGGAAATTAACACGATCCATAAGTGGATAAAAGGACACGGCTGGGCTGGTGGAACTCGCCAGAAGCAAAGTGTCTAAAAGGAGTGAAGATATGCAATAAACTCTCTGAGGCTTGTGAAGTACTGCTACGCCAGGATTGCCGGACAGAGTGT